TGAGAAATCGTTTGCTTGGATTGCCGCAAAAGAAACTGTTGAAATGCAATGCTGTGCCGAAAGTAAATTTATCGTGTGCAGTAAACAAAATAACACCAAGAAATCGGAGACATTTGAAAAAACTAATGCAGAGTGCTTTTGAAAGACTACACGAATTAAGCCCAAAGAAAATTTATTTTGAGGCCGAGAACGAAATTGAAGCTGACAATAATAAATCAAATGGGAATGATTTTGAAATAAAACTCACAAGTGACAATGCCCTATGTGACAGTATCCCTGAGTGCCCTAAGTGTAAAGATAAACAAGAATGTATTGATAATTTGAAGAACAAAATAATATCCTTAAAATTGTAATAAAATATTGAAAATAGAGAAAAGAAAGATTTTAGAATGTTTGCTCAGCGACAAAGAAGGTGGACGACATCTAGAAAGAAATTTGTATCGGAAATTCAGAAATTAAAATCCCAAACAGCGAAATTTAGAAAAAAAAACAGAACAGATCAGAGAATTTGGAAAAACGTCTAAAGCATATTTTTACAAAGACGCGGATTAACGCATTGCTAGAAAAGAAGGAAAAAATCCGGGGACTAGTGAAGATATTTCACGTTGCATTGTCATAAGAGCTCTGTCATCTAAAAGCTACGATTTTGGGAAAGAAAAAATGGGAATTCCTTTACCTCACTAGCACATTAAAGAGATGGTGCGCTAAATTTTCATGTAGTCCAGGAATTCAGAGTGATGTTCTTGCTGTAATGAAGGAAAGATGAATTCTGTAAAAAAAATATGCGTTCTCAGTTTCGACGAAATGCACATAGATTCTAAACTCTGCTATGACTCTAAACTGGACCAAAATCGGTCCTTTTGAAAAAGTGCAGTTTGTTTTAATCAGAGGTCTCATTTCGCAGTGGAAGCAACCAATATTTTTTGATTTTAAAGCTCCAATGAAGAAAGAACTTCTTTTTTTCACTCATAAGACATATTCAATCATCTAGAGTAGAAGTGAAAGCAATAGTGTCTGATTTAGGAGGATCTACTACTTTGTGGAAAGAGTTACAGATTTCGATTAATAGTTCTCATTTTCCAAATCCAGTATTCCAAACGAAAAAAATATGGGTTTTTGCAGATTTAGCGCACTGCCTCAAATTACTGAGTGTTGGTGTATTTAATTATGACAAAGCACACTAGAGCTATCTGCCTAAGGGGAGGGATGCCTTCATGGAGGACTTTCTAAGGGAAACTGGCTCGTATACACGTTACACATGGGGAAAACCACGAAAACGCCCATGCAGCCAGCCCGTTCGCGGGATTCGAACCTCGGACCGAACTACCAGTGTTCAGCGACTTACCGCTCGGCCTCTGGTGGCTCAAATTACTGAAACCACTTTTTAGATAACGGATTTGTTTTAGAAGATGGAACTGTTTTAAATGTTGATATTATAAAGAGAATTAAATTGTGTCACAACTAAACCAAATTATTTAATGGTCAAGGGAACGAGAGACAAAAAGTAAGTGTATATAATATGTTTTGATTTGAAATATTTCTAGATTGCATTTTAGAAGTTAATAGTGTAAAGCTATTTCAAATGAGAACTAATTCTGTTAAGTTATTGTTACAGTTATTTTTATTGTATCCTCTGTTATTATTGATTCGATTTTGTGCTAGCTTAGCATTCTAGATTAAATATATATAAAGTATAATATTAAAGTAATTGGCATAAGAAGACCTGCCCCCTTAACCCCCACTTTTGAAAAATTAAATAATTATTTAGGTACTGTGACTAAAGTTGTTTTGTCTAAATTAAAATAACAATCTTACATGTATTTATTTAAATGAAATATTGATGTAAGCCTAAGTTACAAAATTATTTAAAAAAAAATATATGTTATAATGAATCGAAAGAAAATATGCTAATGTAAAATTACAATTAGGCTGAAACTCAAACTTAGATTAGCAGAAATTTTGCCATATATAACCATACACGTTTAAAACTATGCCAATTTAAGGTTTTTTTTTTTTGATTAATTTTAAATAGCTGTTATTATAGTTATCTTAGCAGTAGTATAGTTCTCTTAGTTAACATGCAGATAAAAAAAAAATGATTAGAAATAAGCAAGGCATTAAAAGGAAAAAAAAATCTCTGCAAATTAAAAAAAGGATTTTTACGCTAAGAGTAGCGCATTTTATCTGTTATTTTTAAATTGAGTTAAGTACTATTAAATCTTTGTAATGTTCAGTGTAAAATGTATACTGCAGTAACATTGTCTCTTCTAAATTATAGCCTATCTTTCACACACAGCTCATTTTAAACGCTGGTTTCTTCAGATTTAAAACGCTAATTTCTATGTTGTCAATTGCATCTCCGCGCTCAGTGGCATCATTGGCTCAGTGGCGCACACTCCTCACTGCCTGTTTCAGGGGGAAACGCTCTATGAGCTAGCCCTTCTCTTTAGTCCTGACGAATTCTTACCAGTTTAGCCCAGAAAGTTCTTGAACACAAGCCGAAACTATAAAATCCCTGCTGGTCCGCAGTCAGGGTGAGTGCCTCGTCTAGAGTATCGAGTTAGTCAGTCCGTGCGGAGCAACGACTTCATATAACAGGTAGACGGCTCACCCACAGAGAATTCGTCTGCTAGGGTGTCTCCAATACCACGTGACTAATGCTCTTGAGGAGTGATAGCTTAGGCTGTTCATCGCCAGTTTGGCTCGCTTTTGATATGGCAGGTAGTACTCTTTATTTCCGTCTGCTAGCAGTCAGCAGACAACGGCCTCGAATTACGTTGTTCGATTTTTTACAATTATATTTAGATATAACTTAACCCCTTTTTTTCCTGAATATTTTATCTTTATTTTTAATAATTGCTTTAAATTATTTGCACCATTGTTTAAGATGTTTAGGTTAAATAATTTAGGAAGAAAATCTAAATAAATAAATAAAAAATGGAGATGGAAACTTAATTTTGAATAACGTTAAAAATAATTGCACACTGTTATAATATTTGAGAAGGTAAAAAAAAAAATCTCGTTTAATTTTAATGCATTGCATCCTAAAGAGAAAAAGAAAATCACATTGATTATATGTATTTATGCCATTGATTGCCTTTCTTCTTGAGATTATTACTGGAACAAATAATGCAATCTTAATTACTGATTTCCACACTCATGTGTATGTCATGGGGGGGGATCAATGCTATAATCAATTTATTAACCATTAAAATTATTTTATATTGAATATGTATCAAACGGTAACAAACTTCAACTCATAGTTTATTATTAGGATCAAAACGATATTACAGTTAAAAATTCTCTACTCTCCTTTTTTTTTTTCTTAATACTATTTAAAATATGGTTAAGTTTTTCACATCCATTTTTTCAATTACAATAAATTTCTAAGGCATCGTGGATGAGACAGAATTATAATCCGATTATTTTAATTTTAATTGATTTTATAGAAAATAATGATAAAGCATTGAGCTTTATAAAGTAATCGATTTTTAAAATAATGCTGTTTTAACTGTTTAGGTTCAATATTGCATGAATCAAGATCTTAGCTTTTTTTTTTTTTTTTTTTAACAAAGTAAACATATCGCACAATCTTTTCTCAATAATTTAATGCTAATAATAGCGTTTTTCTTTTTTTATCGCAGGCAGTTGTTTTGAAATCAAACGCGTACGACTTGGCGAAAAAAGGTTAACGCAATTGGCGCAGCTTTCTATTTCAGCGGGAATACACGAAAAAACATATAAAATTCAATTATTTGTAAAGGGTGATCCAGTAAATAGTGTCACATTATTTATTACATTTTGATGCTAATAATACATGCTGAAATGTCATATCCGGCGGCAATTTTCTTATACAATATGGCTGAAACTTTCCAACCAATTCAACAGAGAGAGTAAAATGACAAAAATACTGAAAATAAAATATAAATCGTGCATTTTAACTTACCTATGAAAGGTTAAGTCCCCTTTCACGAAACTTTCTTTACATCCGTAGGCGCTGCAGCGAATAACCATTTTTACTTAAATTTTATGTGACCAAGCAGAGCAGCAGTCTTCCGTCCCATAGAAAGCAATGTAAAGTATTTCCACACTTTCGGAATTCGCGCAGCAGTCACGTGACACTAATGTTGGAACCGGTCGAAGGTTGCAATATGCTCTCTACCAGTATATTATCTCGTTGGTGTGGAGTCGACTTGACAGCCGGGCAGCGAGTGCCGAGTGGATCGAAAGAGTCTCATAGTGTATCGCGGTTAGTGCGTCGTCGAGAGAGTGTGTTGAGCTCCGGGAATGGCTGAATCGAAGAGTCGGAAGCTGTGCTCTGTGTGTCATCGAGTGCATCGCGAGTTGTAGCGTGGAGTTCCGAGAACAACCGAGCAGAGTCGGGAGCTGCAGTGAAGCTCCCGACTCTGCTCGGTTGTTCTCGGAACTTGCAGTGAAGCTATCTCAACATTTATAGCCTGATAACCTGAAGGCTGTGTCGCTGATTGTGTCAGCGTGTTTATAGTAGTTCTTCGATGACTGTAACGTGATTTTGGAGCTGTCCTGATTAGTACTGGCTAAATAAAGTGTGTTTTGATACTTCATCAAGTGCTGTCGTCATTATTCACTCCGAATCCTCACGAACCCCGTACGAACGTGAAGGAGGAAAATAACGTAACAACTGGTGTCAGGAAACAAACAAACAAACGGAAAAAAAAAAAAAAAACGAAAGTGTTTATTGAGGACTGTGAGTTAGTCATCGTACAACAATTCAGTAGAACTATTTGGACTGAGTAATTATTGGAAGATCACCTGCAATATTAATTTTTACTTAATTTACCTTTTTATTACTTTTATTTATTTCTTATTAGTAAAATAAAGCAGTAATTATGCTTAACGTGTGCTCTACCATGTTCTTATGAAAGTAAACCCCACAGTAATTACAACTTGATCTAAAAATTTATGTTGTATGTAAACCAAACAATGTTTAACTACATTTATAATAAAGCTTTTAATCAAAATAAGATGACTAAGGCTTTATTTTAAATACAAACTGAGGAACATGTAATAAAATTAATACAGAGAATTTAAAATGCTATAAATTAGCTCTGAATATAGTAGAAATCTTGCAGATGATACTTGGGATATCTTCAAGAAACTCTAGGATCCTACAACAAAATAACTGTAGTAAGAAGCAAAACAAAAACTTTAGCATATTTCATTTTAAACACTTACTCATAATACACCAAACTGAAAAGAGAAGGTGCCCAGAATTCTCTGTAAGAACTATTATACCAAACAAAAGCAAATTTGGTTTTATAAAATTTCTTGAACAAGTGGTTACAATTTCCAGTGACGTTTGCTCCTGCTTCATTCAAAATTTGCACATTGCATTATCTAAACAAATTTCACATATGTTAAAAATTCCTCTTCTTCCTTAATGTGAAAAATTCAGACAGTCTGATTATATGTACCATAATTTGGCATTGCCCAGCTGTCCGATTGTTTTGATTACTATGTGAATTTTGTACCATTTTTTTAAAGAAATCTATAAATATACTTTTTTGCTGTCAGGCATAAATTATTAATCATGAGTTATACAGCAAATGTCTCGGGCTTTGTTCTAACTTCCTTTCTTAAAAGGAATGTTCTTATCTGATGAGTGCATCTTACATTAACGAAGTCAGTATGATACTGAACTCATTACATAGCATGAAAATTGAAATCTGAGAATCATAGGTCAAAGCAGACATCAAGGCAACAAAGCTAATGAGTTGGCAAAAGCAGCGGTTGATTCCAACTGAGAATAGAAAAGTCATAGACAGCTGGGACTATGCACTAGAAAGTAGGCAGCCTAACTAGTTTCTTCCAAAAAGGGAATAACAAATATATCAACATCAACCACTACCTTTCCCAGTATATATCTGGTTATGCCATTTTTCTGGCATACTTACAGGTAAGAAATATTTCTTCAAAAATTTGTGTTTGTAGAGGTGACAAAGATTATTCTATTTTTTAATGTGCTTTAATATTCTGACTTTAACAGGAAGAACTTAGTATGAGTATGTTATAAAAAGACACCTGATCAAGAATTTATAGCAGTATAATAAAATTAGCAAGAATAGGACAGATCTATGTCGAGTCTTAGATTAATAAGTCAATATAATGAAAAGTCAGTATTTATTTAATGCCTTTCTATTAATAAGATTGAATGATTGAGATTTATAAACTAGTTTCATTTGTATTAAGAAAATAAATACTGTTTGTGTAATGTATGCATATTCAGTAAATTGCCAAAATATAAATAACATTGGTTAATGGAGCACAGTAAGTGATGAACAGTCTGATAACACTGTAATCATATTTATAAGGCATATATGAAATTCAATTCTTTAAAAAATTCAGAGTTATGAGCATTATGATTAACCTTAGAGTTATTAAACTTTTATTACCTTTTTGCACAACCTATGTATATGTGTGAATAAGGATTTTCTTCCATATTATATTTAAAAAATAAAGCCAGAACAAAATTAAATGTGATTCTAATTTACGCTTAAACTAAGTGAAATAAGACTTAGTTGAAAGAAAGTGATTTCTCTTAAATAGGCCCAAATTTTGCACTAAATTTTAGAATTAAAGTATTATACTTAAATTTTGAATTAGAGAATTAGGAGACTTGATAAACGCTTCAGGCTCATCGATGATCACAGACAGTTTTTAATAAGTTTTAATTTGCTGCTCACAGTTTGCGGAAGTAATCAGAAGTGTAGAGAAAATCCGCAGGGTAATACAGTCAAAAGTCGTTAATCCGGACTCGTCGGGTCTTCGGCGATTCCGGATTATAGATCATCAGTTTAAATCTGGTAAGATGGCATGCAGAAATTATAAAATTAAAAATATTAAACCGTAATTTATGAAATAAAAGACAATTATGATCTAAAGGGTATCAAAATTTACAAAAAAAAAAAAAGCTTAATATTTATTTGTTTACTTTATTAAACATTTCTTTCAATGTAAGTTGTTTAAGTTGCTTCGTTTTTTATGTGATGATACATTCTCTTCAATTCTATAAACAGACATAATTTCTTGTTCAGTTACAAAGGTCTGCTGTTCAAGTCCTATAATTGCTGTGTCTACCGACTAATTTATCAATCGAAATTTTTTCATTTTCAAGAACCTCTGTCACTTTCTTCGCTATCGGAAGCGAATTATAATGACGAGGAATTTGATTTAAATCATATCAAAGACGAAGTACATCGAGATGAAATACTACATTTAGTAAGGAATTATAAGCCAAATAAAATAAAAACATCTGCCCTGAAGATAAGGATAGTTATGAAAACTTCCATAGTGCCCCTGACAGATCAACTTCCAAGTTCATTGCGTGCCCCTGCAGCGTTGCCCCACCCTGATGCAAAAACAAAGTTTTAGATAAACAAACGTTTAAAGTTTAGATAAACAAAGAATATGCCTTATCCATTTTTTGCAGCAATTCCACTTTTTGTTTAATGGACTTCGAAACAATACTTTCGCTTTGTAGATCCTTTACATATTTGTAAATATATATCGGAAATTCTATTTGACATATCGAAAGTTCAAGCTTACTTTTATAAAATTGCTCTAACAGTCTGCAAAAAATAATAAGCCGGATCCAATTCGAAGTTTAAGGAACAACGCAATCTGCAACATTAACTGAAATAGATAATTTTAGCTTAGCTTATACCGTCCGTTATACATTAAACACACATTCGTAAACGTATTTTGCACACGCGCACATTTGCAGCCGTAAAGGTCTTACGTGCATGCGCCAACGCGACGCATGCGCAGAAAGTTCGTAGCTTTGAGGTTCGGATTATAGAACATTCCGGATTATGGGTGTCCGAATTAACGACTTTTGACTGTACAAATATTCTAAAAGGCATTCTGAAAATCATAGGTATAGATCTGTTGCAAAAGATACAAAGTTGTAGCCTTTTTTTATGTTGATGAATAACATTGGGGCTTGTTTTTTAAAAACGCCAAGTACCTGGCAGAACTGAAATGCATTTAGATCTTGCTCATATTTTCGTGCAAGCTCTGATCCCTTCTTTTGCAGTTCTTCAGTTGACATATTCAGTATTTCACTAACTAGCATTGAGAAATGCAAAATTTGAATTTAGTGTATTAGTGCTGTTTATCCTCGTCTGAATTTCTGATAAGATTTGATCAAATACAATTTCCATTGCATTAGAAAATAGCTGAACAGGATGAAGTGTTCGTGATTTGTCCTTGCACAATTAACTGCTTTTTGCACCTTATAATTCGTTTATTTGTCAGAACAGATTCAACCTCAAGGTTTTTGGCTTCTGCCTTGGATTCTTCTATCCAATATTCCATAGGCATTTCTCTCATTTTTTGAAAAGGTTTGGTCGGACCTTCCATTAATGTGACGGAACGCGCAAGAATAATATCTTTCTTTTGAATTTCAATATTTATTCGATTGGCTTCTCAAAGAATATTAGCCCAAACTGTCAGGTTGCTAATAAATTCAAAAACTTTTACTATATGTAGTAGATGTCCTGCTTCATACTTTGATTCCGCACTAAGAGAAAGATAATCAATTTCTTTCAATGATTTTACTACTTCTGGTAAAATTCGTTAGAAGGGCTTTCACAGCCACATATTTTGCCGACCATTTCATCTGGCAGCTTCCTTTTAAGTTGGTTTTTGTACAGCTTTTCGTAATATTCCATCGAATAGTGAATCCGACAAAAAAGCTAAATATCTTCTGGATAATTCGAAATAGGTTAACTGCTTCGGTGCAAGATGAAGCAGAATGCACACTGACAAGATTGAAAAAGTGAGCCAAACATCACACATATTCAGCCAGCTTATTCACTTCTGTAATCCTGGCTTGTATTCCTTTATAAGTACCGGCCATATTAGATCCGCTATCGTCAGATTGACTACAACATTGTCCAATATCCAAATAATCAAGTGTCAATTTTCTGTAATCCATTGAGAAATACATTCTCCTGTCTTTCCACGAACTTCTATGAAATCAATAAAGCTCTCCTTTATTTCACACACATCACCACACGTTTTATGTATCGTAGCACCTGACTCATTTGTTCTGTATGTGACACATCTGGAATGCAATCGAACATTATTGTATAATATTTGGCTTCTTTAATAATATCATTTAAAATGCTATTGCAAACTGTTTTCGCCATTATATCAGTAATTTCATTTTGAATTATCTTTCCTGAATATGATACTTGTCACTTTTTTAGGTGTTCTAACTGGTACAGTACAAAGTCCGTAATCCGGACTCGTCAGGACTTCGGCAATTTCGGATAAAGGGTTTTCCGGATTATAGATCATCAATTTAAATCTGGTAAGATGGCATGCAGAAATACAATTAAAAATATGAAACCATAACTTATGAAATAAAGAGCAATTATGATCTAAAGGGTATCAATATTTACAAAACAAAGCTTAATATTTATTTGTTTACTTTATTAACCATTTCTTTCAATGTAAATTGTTTAAATTGCTTCGTTTTTTTGTGCTAAATGCGCATGCTTAAACATTAAATGCGCATGCGTAGCATTAAACCCGCATGCGTAAAGCATACCAAAAAAAAAGGTTTGTGGCTTTGAGGTCCGGATTATAGATAATTCCGGATAATGGACGTCCGGATTACAGACTTTGTACTGCACTTAAGAGTTAAGTTATGTTCAGCTACCAGAATCATTAAATTAGAAAAATTGCCTTGACTATGCTGAGGACACTTTGTGAGTAGACTGCTAGGTGTTTCATCAGACCTATGGAAAGAAAGACAGTTTTTTGAAAGATACAATACAGCATCCATCATTATCTGTAAGATATCTCTCCATTTTCCTTTCTCTGTGAGAATTAGTCATTTAATGTCACGTTCGATGCTTTGACAAGGTTTCACTTGTTGTAATCGAAATTTTCATTTTATCATGTGGATTTCAGATGTTTCGTGCTCAGTCAACCTTTCTGAAGCTTTTTTCCAATAAATGAATCCCGTAGCACACAATGCTGATGTAGCGGCAGTGGCATGTTTCCGGTAAATCTCCCAGGGTGTACAGAAATTGCATTTTTAGTTTTAGAATATATAAGCCACAATCTTTTAATCTTTTCATTATTTTCTATTGCTCTG